TTTTTTTTTTTTTTTTTTTTTTTTTGTTGAAGAGAGCAAAATCAACTGACCAATTATGCGTGTTGCTTAAAATGCTCTCTTTGTAGGATCGGACTTAATTGAGAGTGGTTTCAAAATAAGGTCTTCATGAATTCTGTCCCTTCATTTTTAAAACATTTCAATATCAATGATTCAGCATGCATCACTGGAGGTGACTATGGTAGGGACTAATTTTAAATTTGTTAAAATGATTTTTGATCTCTCACTGTCTTTCAGGCTTGAAAATTTAAGTCAAAAGAACTGAAATAGCATGAACATGAGCACATAGCACACAAGGGAGAAACGACCAAAGGAGTATCAATCTCATTATAACATTGATGCAATGTTTTGGAACAACTAATCAGAGATTTAAATCAGTTTCTGAATAGAAGGGTTTGTCCATTTACACCTGAATTAGGCTGCTCTTGGTTTCTTTTTCATGCTTCGACTGATTATGAAGTCATCGTCTGATTCATCTTCGGAACTTTCGTCTTTCAAATTGCGCTTTGTCGACTGTTTTGCCACAACTTTGGAGCCCACTGTCATCGTCTTCTTATTCGAAGAAACTGGAGGAGATTGGACAGTATTCTTGACAATGGTGGTCTTCGTGACGCTCTTTACAGTAGTCACAGTCTTCCCTGGGGAGCTCAACTTTTGCAGTGGTGCCTTCTTCTGCTTCTTTTCAAAAACTTTCTTTGCTTCTTCTTTGGATAGTAAACCAGACTCCATCATCCTGCAGACCAAACTCCACAATGTTAGGCAGTGATGAACAACAAACTCAATCTCATTCCATTACTACCTTTTTAGAAAACGAAAAATTTGAAATATGATTAACTTACACTGTAACGGCCCAAACTCACCGCTAGCCGATATTGTCCTCTTTGGACTTTCTCTTTGGACTTTCTCTTTGGGCTTCCCCTCAAGGATTTAGTTTACCAGGGGGAGGTTTTCACACTTTCAAATGTTTTGTTCTACTCTACAACCAATGTGGGATCTCACAATCCACCCTCCTTGAGGGCCCAACGTCCTCGCTGGCACACCGCCTGGTAGAAGGTTTTTACACCCTTATAAAGAATGTTTCGTTCTCTCATCCAACCAATGTGAGATCTCACAATCCACCCTCCTCGAGGGCCCAACATCCTCACTAACACACCGCCTGATAAAGAATGTTTCGTTCTCTCATCTAACCAATGTGAGATCTCACAATCCACCCTCCTCGAGGGCCCAACATCCTCACTAACACACCGCCTGATAAAGAATGTTTCGTTCTCTCATCTAACCAATGTGAGATCTCACAATCCACCCTCCTCGAGGGCCCAACATCCTCACTAACACACCGCTTGATAAAGAATGTTTCGTTCTCTCATCTAACCAATGTGAGATCTCACAATCCACCCTCCTCGAGGGCCCAACATCCTCACTAACACACCGCCTGATAAAGAATGTTTCGTTCTCTCATCTAACCAATGTGAGATCTCACAATCCACCCTCCTCGAGGGCCCAACATCCTCACTAACACACCGCCTGATAAAGAATGTTTCGTTCTCTCATCCAACCAATGTGAGATCTCACAATCCACCCTCCTCGAGGGCCCAACATCCTCACTAACACACCGCCTGATAAAGAATGTTTCGTTCTCTCATCTAACCAATGTGAGATCTCACAATCCACCCTCCTCGAGGGCCCAACATCCTCACTAACACACCGCCTGATAAAGAATGTTTCGTTCTCTCATCTAACCAATGTGAGATCTCACAATCCACCCTCCTCGAGGGCCCAACATCCTCACTAACACACCGCTTGATAAAGAATGTTTCGTTCTCTCATCCAACCAATGTGAGATCTCACAATCCACCCTCCTCGAGGGCCCAGCATCCTCACTGACACACCGCCTGATGTATAATCTAGTACCATTTGTAATAGCCCAAACTCATCGCCCGCAAATATTGTCCTTTTTGGGTTTTCCCTTCTGGGCTTCCCCCTCAAGGTTTTAAAACATGTCTACTAGGGAGAGGTATTCACACCCTCGTAAAGGAATGTTTCATTCTTCTCTCCAACCAATGTGGGATCTCACATACTGCAAAGTATTGTATTTGTTTCATGTACTTGTTAGCTTGAGATTGACAGTATCTGCCAAACAATATGCAGGGAGATCCCGGACTCATTAAAGATGTAACAAATGAAATAGCAAATTAGAGAGTAATTGCCCCACTTTTCTAGTTGTTCTCAGTTCATGCAGAACACCACAAGAAAACTTCCAAGGAGGATGAGATAGAATGGACTGCAGACTGCACATTGAGTTGTGTCATGCTTATGGCATCTTAATCTAGCCTTTATTCCTATCTAACACGTTTGTGCACTTCCCCATTTATGAGATGGTTATGTACAAACAATAAACATCTCCTGAATTAGTCACTCCTCCATTCTAACACTGCTAAATCCTGGTTATGTACAAACAATGAGTGTCTACTTTGCAGTATACAGAATGTTAAAAATCTTATGTCGGGCAACATAACAGACATCATTCAACTATCTGAATCAAAAGCGGAATTCAACATAAGTAACATGAACACAACTAGTTATGTTCCATACTGACTAGCCATCGGCATGAAAATGGAAACCAGTAAACACGTTCTACTAGAGAGTTCTCAGAAAACTTAGCCCATACATAAACATGTTTGTTAACATAATGTCTTCAAGGTATCAAAACTACTCTTGATGATACTAAAGAAATAACAATTAGAGCAGTTTTCTTACCAAAACTCTGCCATTTCACTGTGGGGAACTTGCTTGTGGAGCGTTTCGTAAAAGATCCTCAGCGGATCTCTCTGAATAACCAAGAGCAAAAGAAGATCATCAGCTAAAGAACTCTCAAACATAAAACTGATACCTATCAAATCATTCTTTAATACCTCTTCTGGGGGATCTCTCTTCTGACCGGGCAAATCATATACCTTCTTCTCCTTTTTCTCTTTTTTCTGGCTCTCCAGCTCCCCTTTGGCGCTTTTGCTCTTCTCCTCGTTCACTTTCTTCTTCTTCTTCAGTTCCTATCTCCCCAACCCATTCAGAAAACACATATGTTAATAGCTTTCAGTGTATGTGAAGAAGAGATTATCACATTAAGAACCCAAAATTCTGCACTAAAAACCTTGTAGCTTCCACGCTGGAGTAACACATTTCTTACAACCACCAGGGATATTCTACTCCCTTCTATTGTCCTCTAAATCGATTACTCAAATTTCAGTCGCTCATTAATCGAAACAGTTGAACAAAATCGGAGCATAGAACACAGAAAGATATACGAACCATATCACGTTTTGCTGCAGAGCTCTTTTTGGCTGGCTTCTCGTCAAAATCATCATCAACAGAGTTGAAACGCTCTTCTTTTTTAACCTTGGTGCCCTTAGAAGCAGACCCACAATTTATATTTGGGGATTTTCCCACTCCATCTTCTCCCTGAACTTCTTCCTTCTTGGGCTTCGAGATGGATTTAGGACCCACATTTTGGAGTTTCTTCCTTTTTTCTTGTAAAAGGGCACCCAGGCTTATTCCGTCGTCCGCTTCGTCTACCTCCACTTTGGTTTTCTTAATCAGCTTTTGATCCTCGGAAGACATTCTACCAACTGAAGCAGTTTGGGCGAAGAGAAGTGGTGGATTCTCACTCTTCTGGGGTTGGGACTTAGAAGAACGATAGGAAAGTGATGAGTTTTCAAAATTTCGGATGAAAATAAGACGGGAAAACTATTTCAAATCCTGCGGGGTATCCGACTTCGATTTTGGGGGAATTAGCGCCCTACTGGAGACTTAGTTTGGACCAGCCAATTATATATGTTTTCTTTTTTTAATAAATAAATTATTAAATATATTTAAATTATGAAATAAACGTTTTACCCTCAAAATAAACCACTTTAAATTTGTTATTATTAAAACTTGGTTGATATTTTATTTAAAGTTAGATTGATTTTTTCACGATATAATAGAAAATCGTGTGAGATCCCACCGTCAGAACAAAGGGTGTGGAAATCTCTCCCGAGTAGATGTGTTTTAAAATCGTGAGGATGACTGATTCGTAACACAGACCAAAGCGAATAATATCTACTAGCAGTGGGCTTGGGCTATGACAAATGGTATTAAACTCAAACACTGATCGGTGTGCCAGTGTAGACAGTAGTAGGCCCCTAAGGGTGGATTGGAACGAAACATTCCTTTGTAAGGGCGTGAGAACCTCTCTCTTATAGATGCATTTTAAAATCGTAAGGTTAACAATGATACGTAACGAGCCAAAACCGATAATACGGGTCAAAGCGAATAATATCTATTAACGGTAAGCTTAAACTGTTACCTATCGATTTTACAACTTTAGAGACAAGTACAAAATTGAAAGTTAGAAAACTCATACATTCGAACAAAATAGGTTTTTTTTTCTTTTTTTTTTTTTGTTAATGGTAAATATATGATCATAGTTCATAACTCACAAAATCATAGATACGATCATCCCTGTGGGATTTTCTAAGGTCCATTGCATGGCCTCCAAGTGCCCATTTCTGAATGCAAAACAACAGACAAAAAAACAGACCTAACCGCCGCCTTATCATATTTATCCATAGCTGTCTTGAAACATATCATATCAAATCTTCCAAGGTCTCTGGTTAAGGAAAGAGGTCGGTTGGGAATTTACTTATAAAGAAGCATTCTGTGTTTGTTTTGCAGATTGTTACACCAAAACAGTAAGAGAAAAGCTTCTAACCTGAAGACACCATGAGTTGGGCAGAGGAAGAAAGAGTTCCAGAGTGGAAGTATGGATGGGCAGAGAGAACAATCGCTTCCATGTCTCCCCCGCCTATGCCTCTTCTCGCCTTCCTCGGCGTCGTCCTTCTTTTGCTTTCGTTGCAGTCCCAGGAGATGGCACTCGACTTCAAGCTCTTCCTACTAGCTTTGCCATTTTTGCTCATCTTTATTGCAAATTCCCTTCTTGTGTCTGGTTCGGTTGCGTCGACTGCCATGAGAACCAAGAACAGGTCAGCTCAGGAGGCCGAAAAGACCTCACCTTGGGGCGCAGCGGTGTTGCTGTTTCTGCTGCTGATATTGCTGTGGAACCGCCGTTAATTCCTCTCCAAGTGGTCACCTGCATCTTAACTACGACATAGATGCATCATAGAATAGCATAGGATAGGAACAAGTACTTTGATGTAAAATATATTGTTGATGTGAATGTTTGCTGAATCCACCACTCCTCAATGGGGGTGAGAGTTCTCTTATTTATAATTATTTTCAGAATACAGAAATATGGTAAATTACAAATATTATGGAAATAGTAATAAAAGGAAAGAATAATAAATGAATGCAATATATTTGCCTTTAATAAGAGGGCAAATATGGTAACCCGTAATGTAAGGCAAATATCTAGATATTTGCCTTATAGTGACGGTCAACTATCCTTAACACCCCCCCGCAAGCTGAGCGTCGGATTTGAACGAACGTAAAGCTTGGATCTGAAAAATTCAAAGAGAGGTCGAGAAATACTCTTTGTGAAGATGTCAGCAACTTGGAGATGAGAGGGTACATATTGTGTGCGAAGTTTGCCAGCGATAACAAGTTCTCGAAGGAAATGATAATCTAGTTCAACATGTTTGGCCCGCTTGTGAGAAACGGGATTAGAGCTCAAAAAAATAGCACTTTTGTTGTCACATAAGAGTAAGGGCTGCTTTGAAATAGGGACCTTGAGGTCATGCAAAAGATGCGTAACCCAAAGAAGTTCAGCAGCGGTTGTGGCAAGAGCACGATACTCAGATTCACAGCTGGAGCGTGAGACAGTAGGTTGCTTTTTGGCACTCCAAGAAACCAGATTGTTACCAAGATAAATAGAATAGCCGGATGTAGAACGACGAGTATCGGGACAACCAGCCCAGTCAGCATCCGAATAAGCGACTAGCGTACTAGGAACATTGGATGGACGAAAGGTAAGACCAAAGTGGAGTGTTCCTTTGACATAGCGAAGAATACGTTTGACAGCAAGAAAGTGATCTGCAGTAGGGGCATGCAAGAATTGACTGACAGAATTGACAGCATAGGCAATATCTGGACGCGTAATAGTCAAGTACTGAAGGGCGCCAACAAGAGATCTGTAGAGAGTAGGATCAGAGAAAGGAGAACCATCAGCAGTCAAGTGTTGAGAAACAACCATAGGAGTGTGAACTGGTTTGCTATCGAGCAACTGAGCACGAGTAAGAATATCTCGAGCATATTTTAACTGACTAATAAAGAGACCATCAGGAGTGGGTGAAGCTTCAAGACCAAGAAAGTAACTGAGAGAACCCAAATCTTTGGTAGCAAACTCAGAATGAAGCTTGCGAGTAAAGCTGTCAATAAGAGATGAGTTGTTGCCGGTAACAATAATGTCATCAACATAAAGAAGCAAATAGATAATGTTAGATTGCTGATGAAAGACAAAAAGGGACGTGTCAGCGCGACTGCAAGAAAACCCAAGTGTGAGAAGAAATGAGCTAAAACGCTGAAACCAAGCACGAGGAGCTTGCTTTAAACCATAGAGGGCTTTCTTTAATAGACAAACATGAGTGGGAAATCGAGGATCAATATACCCAGGAGGTTGTTCCATATGAACACGTTCAATAAGAGTTCCATTGAGAAAAGCATTCTTGACATCAAGTTGTCGAAGAGGCCATTTATTTGTGACTGCAATGGAAAGCACAACACGGACAGTGGTAGCTTTGACAACCGGACTGAAAGTGTCAGTGTAGTCAAGACCAGGAACCTGAGTATAACCTTTGGCAACAAGACGAGCCTTGAAACGCTCGACAGATCCATCAGGCAAATATTTAATACGAAACACCCATTTAGAGCCCACGATGTTGGTGTTAGCAGGGCGAGGAACCAAAGTCCAAGTATCATTTTGTTGTAATGCTTGAATTTCTTCATCCATGGCAGCCACCCAAGCAGGATTCTTAGCCGCAGATTTGAATCCTTTTGGCTCAGTGGATGCAAGAAGAGCAGAAAGAAGTCCAGATGAGCCCAAAATACCAAGATTTGCTGGATGACGAGTCTTGAATATACCAGCTTTGGCTCGTGTGATCATAGGATGAGTGCCCAAAGAAGAGAAATCAACAGGAGGTTCAATAGAGGTCGAATTAGAAGTCGAAGGTGGCAAAGTGGAACCTGCAAGAGAAGTATCAACCTGCACAGACTCATCTACAAGGTCAGAACAAATATCACACGGGGATGAACTGGATCGAGGAGTTTGCGGTGATGAAGTGGTAGGGGGGGATGAATCAATATGATGAAAATGTGGTTCTAAGAAATTTGAAATAGGAATAGAGGAAAGAGGTTGGGTCTGGGAGCTAGGGATAGCAGGAAAGTGGGTTTCATCAAATTGAGCATGACAGGTGATATATAGCTTAGTGGTGGCCGGATCAAGACAGCGAAACCCTTTATGAGCAGGACTATAACCCAAAAAAATACAAGGAATGCTGCGGGGAGAAAGCTTGTTAGGCATATAATCACGCAAATAAGGATAAACACGACAACCAAAGGGATGAAAATTGTCATAATGTGGAGTGTAGCCATAAAGGAGTTCAAAGGGTGACTTACCTCCAAGAAGTGGAGTAGGCAACCGGTTGATAATATAAGCTGCAGTGCTGAAGGCGTCAACCCAAAAACGAGAAGAAAGAATCCGGGTTGCTAAACCAAAATGGCTCTGATACCATGTGAATGTTTGCTGAATCCACCACTCCTCAATGGGGGTGAGAGTTCTCTTATTTATAATTATTTTCAGAATACAGAAATATGGTAAATTACAAATATTATGGAAATAGTAATAAAAGGAAAGAATAATAAATGAATGCAATATATTTGCCTTTAATAAGAGGGCAAATATGGTAACCCGTAATGTAAGGCAAATATCTAGATATTTGCCTTATAGTGACGGTCAACTATCCTTAACAGTTGATATTCCCACAATATCTTTACAATTCTGCGTCAAAAGCCTCCTGAAACAGAGATTTCTAAATTCTAAATCAGATAGATTACAATGGATAAGTAATGGCTGACACTAATATTTTCAGGTACAACAATAATACACTAATATTAACACACAGCTGAAAGAAAATAGAACAATCAAGAGCCAAACCCAATTGAGGACACAAACATTCTAGGCAAATCTACAACTTGATTTCATTCTTCAGTTTGGGTACTTTGAAATTAGAGGTAAACAACCTTGGAGTCTCAGGATCCGACTTAGCATCACCTCTTCTTCTCTTTTGGTTTCCCTGGCCACCGCAAAAAGTTGAACATGCTTCAGTTTCAGAATTGTAAACTAAACCACACCCTAGATCGACTTATCCACGATACTCGATTTAAACGTGAAAAATCAACCATAAAAAGGAAAAATGTTCGAAATCAGAACACATATTATCATAGTATACTTACTGAATGAGAAGGTTGCGCCGAAAGCATGACTTTGTTGACACTGACGTTACTTCTGTTCTTTGTGCCGTTTTTGGCTCCTGAGCTAAATGCCTTAGTTCCTGCCTTGTTGCATGGGTTCAGCACGGGTGTAGCATTAGCATTAAAAGACTTCCTTTGCAGTTCTAAGTCACGGGAGAGTCGGGAAATTTCGTGTTTTAGTTTACTCGAGTCAGTTTCCATCTTCCCCACTTGAGTTCGTAGCATTGCAATAATGCCATCCTTCTCGTTGCTTGAACTTTGTAATTCTTCCAATGAGGCTAGAAGTTTCTCTATCTTTTGGTTTGCAAGTTCAAGTTCTGACTGCTTGCTCTTCAATTGTGTTGTGCAATCATTTTCCATAATATTATATTGGTTCCATAAGAATTTCTTCTCAGTTACTAGCGCAGTCACCTCAGACCTCTTTTCTGAGGCAAGCTTTTCGTACTCACTCCTCAACCTCCTTACTTCACCTTCCAATGCCTTAGAACGTCTTTCTTCATCGGTATTTCCACATGCTGACAACAAAACACCTTCTATTCTACCATTTGCCTCGCCTGCTTCTGATGAACTTCTCAAAGAAGTTTCCTGCAGCCATAGACAGAAGATTAGAACATGTCCTGATACCTAACCAAAATCACGCAGAATTCCAGGAACCATACTTGTGGACTGGAGCTTTTATGAAAGAGGAGATCATCAAAAAAAGATTTGAAATCGTCCAACTCAGCTTCTGAATGTTCTGCATTTGGTAAACATAAGCAAGTATAGTATTTGTCAGATCAGAGAGTCCCAATTTTGCCAAGCATATCAAGATTTACATCATCTTAGTCCTATAGTAAAACACATATCAACAAAAATTTATGAAACTATTATAAATCATAATCCAGCCTGCTAGGAACCACGACTCTCTCAATAGTAATAAAGGTGTCCCACATCATGGGACACCTTTCCCAACAATCCTCCCCTCGAACAAAGTACACCATAAAGCCTCCCATGAGTCCTATGCAGCCCTCAAACAGTCTCCCATTAATCAAGGCTCGACTCTTTTCTCTGGAGCCCTCAAACAAAGCATACTTTTTGTTTGACACTTGAGTCACTATTGACTACACTTTCCAGACTCACAACTTCTTTGTTTGACATTTGAGTATTCTATTGACATGGTATGAACCACGACTTTGATACCATGTTAGGAACCACGACTCTCCACAATGGTATGACATTGTCCACTTTAAGCATAAGCTCTCATGACTTTGCTTTTGGTTTCCCTCAAAAGGCCTCATACCAATGGAGATGTACTCCTTACTTATAAACCCATGATCAACCCCTTAATTAGCCAAGATGGCACTCCTCTCCCAACAATCCTCAACACAAACTAAACTTTCAATCAAAGTGGTGTCGTGAAAACGAATCCCAATCCCCATTCAATGGCCAAATTATTGTCACAGTAACTTAATTGCTATCGTACTAGTGTAAACAAGAGTGCTCGAAATTGAAGTAAAGAGCCGGGGAAAGGAACGTTGCCGAACGTGACATATTATGTAAGAATGCCTACCCTATGAGGCATCATGAATTTCCTTCTTTGAATGATCGATTATTCATAACTTAAAAAGATTTAAGAGGGGGGAAAAAACAAAAACCTATTTTCAGTCGGTAGAGATAGACCTCCATCTGCTTCAATCCAGTGAGCAGATCTGATTTCGAAGCTTGAAGTGCGCGTTCCATATCTTGCACAAACAAATCGTTCTTGATCTGAACAAGAAAAAATTTCCGAAGTTCATTAGAAACCCTAGAATTCAGAGGAGAGGAGGGGAAGTTCCAATTGCATAATTAAACTAAAAAATCCACTAAATCGCAGAGGTAAAACAAATCACCTGAGAGATATGGTCGTCGTAGAGACGAATATCAGCGACCCATCGTTCGTGCTGCATTTTAACACGATCTTCAAGAAGTTTTCGCTCCTTGACGAGTGTTTCGAGCTGATTTTGCTGGGTCTGTAGCATTTGAGTAAGAGCACTGAAGATTTTGCCCCAATTTCGCCGTTCATTCGAAACTTGTAATCCATTGCTCTTTCCCATTCCGATCCACTGAACAGGAAACAAGAAAACAAGCGACAATGTTCGATGAAGAACAAAATGACCGTTGAATGAAGATTGGCAACGGTCGACTTCTGGGACGAATGGTTGAAAAATGAGAACTTGAAAATTGAATTCGGAAGGGAAAAGGAATGTTTCCCGAAAGGCGCCCTATAAAATAACATGGGCCTATTCAAAACCCAAATTAGATTGGAACTGAAACTGACTTATTGGGCCATCTCCCGTGAAAATGGAGAAGCCCAATAGGCTCCCTATAAAATAAATCTGAAATGTTGGGCCATTTCACGTGAGATGGTGAAGCCCAATGGGCTCCCTGTAAAATAACATGGGCCTATTAAAAACCCAAGTTAGATTAGAACTGAAACTTATTTTTTGGGTCATTTCCCGTGAAGATGGAGAAGCCCAATGGGCTCCCGATAAAATAACATGGGCCTATTCAAAACCAAATTATAATGGAATTGAATCTGACTTATTGGGCCATTCCCCGTGAAGATGGTTAAACCCAATGGGCTCCTTATAAAATAACATGGGCCTATTCAAAACCCAAATTATATTGGAACTGAAACTAACTTATTGGGCCATTTCCCGTGAAGATGGTGAAGCCCAATGGGCTCCCGATAAAATAACATGGGCCCATTCGAAACCAAATTATATTGGAACTGAATCTGACTTATTGGGCCATTTCCCGTGAAGATGGTGAAGCCCAATGGGCTCTCGATAAAATAACATGGGCCTTATTATAATGATTTTAATAAAAAAAATTAAATCATCGAGTTGAAATTAAAAAATAATAAAAGTATAAAAACTAATCTGTAATGGAATTAAAATTAAAAAAGGAAAAAAGAAAAACCAGTGACCTAACTTTTTAAAGGGGCAACCACAATGAAATGCAGCTCACCAAAATCACACGTGGTCACACGAAATGAGACGGACCCTGATGGGCCATGAGACGGATCTTGGGTCTACTTTTCGGATCTATAATCAATCTTCCATTCCATCCTCAATCCCAAAGGCGCAGAACACAACGCTATTCTCTTCCACCCCCCTTCGCCGCGCTTACACAGAGAGAACGCAGTGAACCTCCTAATGAAGGCAACCAAGAGGCCCATTCAGGCCATCGCCACATGGGTTCGCCGGCAACCCCCCAAGATCAAGGCCTTTTTGGCCGTCGTCTCTGGAATGGCTGCTCTTGTTTTCTTGCGCTTTGTTGTTCATGATCACGACAATCTTTTCGTCGCCGCAGAGGCAGTTCACGCCATCGGAATCTCCGTCCTCATTTACAAACTCATGAAGGAGAGGACCTGCGCAGGTATGAACCGTTCAATTTTGTCTATTTTGGTTTATTCATCGTCGTTTGACTCTTTTGTTGATCCTTTTGAAATGCAGAATTGGCCTTAGGGTTTTGTGCATTTAGGTTTCATCTTTGAATTTTGTTGTCATTTATCGTATTACGCAGCCTCCATCGTTGTTTGTGTTTTCTTTCAAGTAAAAAACAATTGTTTCGTTAACTTCGTCTTACCTGTTCATCGAATCTTGCAAATTGAGTGTGGTCTTGTTTGGAAGGTTTGAATGATTTATTTTTCTTTGGAGATACCATTGACAATTGGAATTTTAGATTTTTCTTGGTCTCCTCGTTCAAATCAATTTCATTTCTTATTTCCATTTTTGTGGGTCTCACCATGTTTATGACTGGTCTTGTTTATAATGGTTCTTGTCGTCATCATCTTTGCAGGACTTTCACTAAAATCGCAGGAGCTAACAGCAATTTTTCTAGCTGTTAGACTCTATTGCAGTTTTGTCATGGAATATGATATACATACTCTACTGGATTCAGCTACTTTGGTAACGACGCTCTGGGTTATTTATATGATTCGATTTAAGCTTAGATCCAGCTACATGGACGACAAAGATAATTTCCCTATTTACTATGTGGTGAGTTCCCTGCGTACCTTATGTCTTGGAAATTAATTCCTGGATCAGTTATTCGTACTTGCAAACACGAACTCAAAAATATGGAATATGCTTTGTGGAGGTTGAGTTTAAACCCATGATTTGATCAACATTGACCTTTCTACCTAATATTGTTTGAGCTTTCTCGAGAGTTGGCGATGTGTGAGACCTGAGACCTGTTCTGCCATTGAATAACCAAACATTAATGATATTTGATAAACTTGATGCATGTTATTTGAGTTTTCTTGGAAGGCAACGTGCCAGCGCTCTGTCCTTCAATTGGATGAAATGCAACTTAAAGTTGCACCTTGAGATTCTAATTAATGCTTTAATTAATGTGAAATATGTTGGCTAAGATTTGAGGAGAAAGTTTGACTTTTTTTTTTCCTTCATTTTTGGCTGGATGAATGTACATTGGCATATTCATCATCATAATCAAGTTCACTTCATAGTCACGTTAGATGCCCATTATTTTACTTTTAACAAAAGTTGACTCCATCTAAATTAGCTCTGCAAGAGTAAATTCCTTTTGGCTGGATGAACGACTCAATGTGCATTTTTGCACCTTTCAATTATTCGGATCTAACGCTGGCAGATTGGAATAGATCTGTATTCATATATGATATAATGTTATTCATCAATTTATCCATCACATTTGTTTGCATTGTAGAATAATTTAAAACGAACATGGCAAGATATGATGATTTGGTGAAATTCTGAGATGAGAAATTTAGTTTTGGAATTTTCAAACCAGTTTATTCTTCTTATTTCTTGATTTAGGTGATACCTTGTGCTGTTCTATCTTTTGTGATCCATCCAACTACTGTGCATAACATAATAAATAGAATAGCCTGGGCATTTTGTGTTTATCTTGAAGCTGTTTCAGTACTACCTCAGCTCCGGGTCATGCAAAATACTAAGGTATGGATAACTTCTTCACCAAATCTAATATTGTAGACTGTGTTCTGCAGGTTGCCTTGTTCTGAAATAATTATCCCCATGTTTTCCTCTCTAATACTTCTCAAAAGCCTTCGATTACTAGTTTTCTCTGTTTATTCTGTTGCCTAGATTGTTGAGCCATTTACCGCACATTATGTATTTGCCTTGGGAGTTGCGAGGTTCTTGAGTTGTGCCCATTGGGTCCTACAGGTTAGTTAGTTTAACCCGAGATTCATCTTATACTTTGATTAATATATCTTCACGTTTTTTATTTAATAGCTTGCATCCATGTGTTTCTTTGATTGTTTCAGGTGTTGGATACTCGTGGACGTTTGTTAACAGCATTGGGTTATGGACTATGGCCATCCATGGTTCTCCTATCAGAGATTGTTCAGACTTTCATTCTTGCAGATTTCTGCTATTATTATGTCAAGAGGTGGGTTGATTTTGGAATCTTAATTTTTCTAGACAACTCCCTGACAAGCTTAATATAACACCACCTTCTGGTTGCAGCCTCGTCGGTGGACAGCTCGTTCTACGCCTTCCTTCAGGGGTGGTGTAACTTCAACAAAACTGCATATGCCACAAAGAGAAATGAGAGAGGTTGTGTTGCTTGTCTTGGGCTCTATTTGGGAAGGTAGGAGGAGGGTCTCAGTTGTTGAACTAATGCTTATACATGAAATGTGAATGATGCATTAAGTTTTTAAGAGACACATAGTAGATGTTTTTTCCTTTTTAACATGATCTTATTTACTCTACATATCTATCCACCATCTTCTCTCAAAAGCTCTGATTTTGCCACGAAAATAATATCTATCACGGGCCTTTGTTGCTGCCTGTTTAAGCTGAAACAATACATAAACCTAACCCCCACGTCTTCTCTATTTCTGCATTTAAGAAGTTGCCTACGGGAAGTATATATCTTCAACGAACAATTCTTTAGGCTTCAGATCCCAACTCGTATTCTCTTTCCTTTGTTTTTATTTGGCAGTGTACCTTTTTGGTTTTAAAAGCCACCACCATTCAAAGGATATGAAATCGAGTACCTTTATAAGGCTGCATTAAACTAAACTTACAAGGAGAGAACCTGTACAAAGTCCAATGCTATCTGCTAGCGGTAGGCTTGAGCGTTACAAAATCTATCTTTATCTTCTCTGCTTCTAACGGCTGGATATGAACCGAAATAGTTGGTGAATATATTATAATCAAGAGAGAAAAATGGAAAAATGGAGAACAAATGGAGAACAGGAGATGTCATTGTTCTCATCCATCTTAAACGGACAGGTGGACCAACAGCTCCGTCCTCATGGCGACCTCCAGCAGAAGGGCTACATGGAAACCCAGTTCAGATGCCACGTGGAGTCCAACTAGACAGATGGGAGGTTTGGTCGGATGGGTTCTTGGTGACCATCTTGGATGTTGTTATCAAAATTACATTATGTTATCTTACACTAAGCCACCAGTAATCATTGATCGAGAGTTGGCATAGTGAATAGATTATGAATACACTTTATTCAATCTTAGTTTAAGCTAACTTTGCTTTACACTAAATGATCAATTGGACAGCTGGAGAGCAGTTTACATGTCCCTTTATACTCCAATTTCCAGCTCAACTAAAGTTCTTTCGTGTTCATTAACAATCGATTCAAACTTTAAATTTAAGAAGAAAACTACATGTCAATTATTCATAATTTGACCAAAGTTTAGAGTTGGACATAAAATTAATTTAAGGTTTAGAACGTTAAAAGACAATAATAGCATCATGGGACCTATGAACCTAAGTTTTGATAGACTAAACTTGTGATTTAACCTAATTTACGGGGACAACTAAAGGAAATAGGGTGTTACTTTGAAGTGGAAATGTGTGCGTGGAGAAGACCACACCCTGCATTTGAAAGAAAGAGACGGAAACGAACAGATTCATTTATTTTAATGCTTTTTATAATTCAGTTTCCTCCACCACAAGAATGGATATTCCATTCCGCGTGAAAATTTTCGAGAAATTTCTCTACTTAGCCACTCACCTAACGCCACTCTCCACCACCTTTTTTCATCTATAAATATGAACCATTTCCTTTCTCATTCATATCACGTACAACAAACATTTTAACAATCCTCTGCTTCGTCTCCCATGGCCATCTCTGGTCTTTCCAAGGCTTTGGTCACCTGTGTTCTCATGTCCCTTCTCGTCGTTCATTTGGTTGCAGCTGATGAAGAGGTATAGCCTTGAACCAACTTCCATCCTCCTAATTTATCACAAACCTCAAATGTTCTTACGCCCAATATATATGGGTTTCGTTGCAGGTGAACTCAATTCATGGCGTTGCGGCTCATCCTGCTAATATACAAAGCATTGGTAATATGTTAATATATTTTATATTTTATATACGTAAAAAAATAATGAAATATCGAGTGTATTAGTTATGATATACCAAATTTAATAGGTCAAAAAATTTAACATTTATTGTGCGTGATCAGATTGTGGGGGAGCTTGTGCGTCCAGGTGCAAATTATCTTCAAGGCCAAATCTTTGCAAGAGGGCATGCGGGACGTGCTGTGCGCGTTGCAACTGCGTGCCGCCGGGCACTTCCGGCGGCTACGAAACCTGCCCGTGCTACGCCAGCTTGACCACTCACGGCGGCCGGAGAAAGTGTCCCTAAATAAAGAATTATTCAAAGTTCTCTGCATATATTATTTGTGCATGCAACGTGTCTGCTACTTAAATCGAATCAGGGTTATGTTGGAGTTTGATTAATGATTATGAGTTTCAAGCGTGTTTGAAATATGAAATTAATGTAAAATAAAGGGAATCTGTGAAAACCAGATTCTTGTGTCTCTGTCTCTTTTGTTTGTTTGGCCTATTACATGAATATAAGAGGTATGAATTATTTTGTACGTTTCTTGGACTTGGAAGAAAAGTGGGTCTGTTTTTAATTCTGTGTTAAAGCTAAAATTAATGGATCAACTGCTTTCTGAGCCGACCATGTTAAATTTGGCATTAGCTTTGACAAACAATGCAGCTAGCTTCGTTATTCTTTAAAGTTGGACACATATTTTTTCAATCTTACACGTAACACTGAAAGAAAGGTGTGGTGTGGGATTCTATATCGAGAGGGAAGCGAATCATTCTTTATAAGCGTGTGGAAATTGCTCCCTAGAAAACGCGCTTTAAAATGGTGTGACTAAGGGCGATATGTATCGAGTCAAAACGGACAATATCTACTAGTGGTGGGGTTGGACTGTTACAAATAATAAGACACTGGGCGGTGTGCCAACGAGGATGCTGGACCCTCAAGTGGGTGGATTGTGAGATCCCACATCGGTTAGAGAGGAGAACGAAACATTCCTTATAAGGGTGTGGAAACCTCTACCTAACAGACGCGTTTTAAAATCGTGAGACTGACGGCGATACGTAATGGATCAAAACGGACAATATCGACTAGCAGTGGGGTTAGGCGGTTGCAAATGGTATTAGAACCAAACACTGGGCAGTGTGTCAACGAGGACGCTGGACCCTCAAGGGGAGGATTACGAGACCCCACAATGGTTAGAGAAGAAAACAAAACATTTTTTTTATAAGGGCGTGGAAACCTCTCTATAGCATATACATTTTAAAATCGTGAGGCTGACGACGATACGTAACGAGCCAAAGTGGACAATATTTGCTAACAGTAAGCTTGGGCGGTACTCTGAAATATCTGGAATCATGCAGATTTTTGAATGTATATGCAACAGCTATCAAACAAGTAATTTTCAATCAAAGTAAGTTCACTTTCTGATTTATGTACCCAAATGAATATGCTTTGAGATGTTAGTGGCCGAATTGTGATAGGGAAACCGACAGATTATGCAATGAACCAACCACGTCTTGGTGCTATAATTATCTTTTGTACAAAGCGAAACTTCTACAAGGAAAGCAACAAACACTATTAAAGATTGAAAATATGTGTTGATTATAAAGAACAAAGAGTTGATTACGAAATGTTGGAGTAGGGCCTCTCAAACAATCCTCTAATAATTGAGAGTAAAGAAGGGTTTAGATAACTGGACCTTCACTTGTATTCTTCACTGAGACGAGCTTAAGGTGGGCTCTCATGTACTCTTGTCAACACTTCTGAATGGTACAATGTTCTGAACCACACATGAGACGATGACAAAACATATCTATCCTCAAAGTTGCTCAAAGCTGTGTTATGAGAACAGAGGCAATGTCTTCATATCAACCAATTATAATCCAAGCTAAGAGCCCATCTACCACATTGTAGATACCCATCTCAACCTGAAAGATTTACCTAACTTTCCCGGTTACTTTACTTTATTCCCTTCCTAAAATTTTCCCCCTATAAACAGACACCTCTTGCATATGAAACGTGGAGATATCAGTCGAGGTAGCGGCTGTAATAACTCAATCGCTAGTTGAATCTTGTGTATGTTGCGGAGAGAAACACACTTTTGACCAATGTCCAAGTAATCCAATGTGAAATCTCATATCGGTTGGAGAAGGAAACGAAACATTCCTTGTAAGGGTGTGGAAACCTCTCCTTAGCAGATGTATTTTAAAACCATGAGGCTCACGGTGATACGTAACAGGCCAAAACGGACAATATCTGCTAGTGGTGGACTTGAGATGTTACAAATAATATTAGAGCTAGAGACCCGGCGGTGTGCCAATGAGGATGTTGGCCTCCATGGGGGTGGAATTGTGAGATCCCACGTCGGTTGGAGAGAGAAACGAAACATTCCTTATAATGGTGTGAAAACCTCTCCCTAGCCGATGTGCTTTAAAACGGTGAGTTTGACGGCGATGTGTAACGGGCCAAAACGGACAATCTCTATTAGGGGTGGGCTCTTGAGCTCTTACAAATGGTATTAGAGCTGTTACAAATGTTAGTGACTGAAATCCGAGTCTCTCACAGATCGCGGGGAAGCTCGAGATCCGAGGTGCCAATTATCGTCAAGGTAGCAAATCTGCAAGAGGGAATGCAGAACCTGCTAAGCTCACTGTCTGTAACGGCCCAGACTCACCGCTAAAAGATATTGTCCTTTTGGACTTTCCCTTATCCCCTCAAAGTTTTTAAAACGCGTCTGCTAGGGAAAGGTTTCCACACGCTTATAAAAGGTGTTTCGTTCTCTCTCCAACCGATGTGGGATCTCACACCGTCGATGCGTTCCAGTTCCAGTGGGCACTGCAGAAAACTACTATGTTTGTCCCTGCTATGCTAATAGGAGCACACATGGTGGCAGGCACAAGTATCCCTAGACAATGTTGTTGGTTCTATGATGATGATGTTACGCTTCACATCATAGATATCCAAATATAGGCTTCACAACAAGACCACCCCAACAAATCTACATTGGGGAAACAGATTCAACAACACAATAAACAGGAACAGATGAGAAGGTTTTAAGGAGAGTGGTAAGGAAATGTTGATTAAAGTGAGTACATAGCAGTAGCTTATCAAGTTGAAAAGGGGAAGGAATAGGCCCCCACCACCTCTGACTTCAATTACAAGCAATTTTGGTAGACATATAAAGTATAGTTTGGATATTATGTATAACTGTTCAACTGTCACTCTCTTTTACCTCAAAATTTAACACAATTCCACAAACTTGGAAGCCAAGAAACGAAGCTTTGGTAGTACTTGCTACTGCCTTAATAATAATGATAATAATAATAATATAAACTCCCATATTTCTTCTTCTCTGTTCTTCTTCCTCCATTACCCAATTCTTCAATCCTCTTTCTCTTCGGAAGTTGGAACAAAATTAAAGGCTGTTTCTTTGTT